GGTGTGTCCGAGGGCAGGTGTGTCCCGGGGCAGGTGTGTCCCGGGGCAGGTGTGTCCCGGGGCAGGTGTGTCATGGGGCAGGTGTTTCCCGGGGCAGGTGGGTCTCAGGGCAGGTGTGTCCCAGGGCAGGTGTGTCCCGGGGCAGGTGTGTCTGGGGCAGGTGTGTCCCCAGCCAGGCCGCCCAGCGACCAGTTGTAGGCATGCGCTGTTCTTCAGCGGAGCACAGAGCACAGCACAGACGTCTCAGCTCAGAGGAGGGACCGCAGGGGACAGCCCCGCCCGGGGCCCAGGGCGGGTGGGCGCCCGGCCTATCAATGGGGAACTCGCAGCCGATGGAAGTGCCATTTGTAGAGAGAGGACTCCGCTGCCCTCGCTAAAGCAGTCTGTTTTCAAATCCGCGCAAAACAAAGCTCCCGGCTCAGCCTGGAGACGCTCGCTCAACCCCCTTCTCTGCGGGACCCCGGAAACACTGGCATCGACTCTGATTTCCTGCAAACACCTGGGCTCCAGTCCTGGTTGCCCCCACAGGCGGCGTGCTGCCCGGCCTGGGCCCGTCCCTCCCAGTGAGGAGGCTCATGCCGCCCGGATGCCTGCCTCGCCCGCCTGCACCAGGGCCCGGGCCTGCCGCCGTGATGCCCCAGCAGGAGGTGTTGCTCTTGATATAAGTGACTGTGCTCCGCACTTTCTGTGAAGCGGAAGGTTTAAAAAAACAGGAGCTTTTCGTTCAGAAAGTACTGGTCTCAGAAAATCTACTCATACCGTTTCTTCTTTTCCCATTTTCTTTCAATACAAACGGAAACACGCTCGGGCTGCTGCTGCCTCAGGGAGACCCCAAAACAGGGCTCGGCATGAACGCCCCACCCACGCCGCCCTCATGCCTCACAGCCAGCCCCAGCCCCCCACGCGCCCCACAAGCAGCCCAGAGAGGCCGGCTCTCCCTGGTGCCTGGGCGCCGACTGCTGCTTTTACTTTTTTAGAAATAACTTGTACTTTAAGGGACGCTTTCCATTCAAATGGAGACACCTTTCCTTCCAAACTCCTGGCCCGTTCCCCACGTCCGCCCAATCGTCTGCGGTGCACGCGGCCTCCGCTTGCCCTGTGCGGGGACGGCAGCAGCCACCCAGGGCTGAACTCCGCAAACCTGTGAGACCCCGCCATCGCGCAGGACCAGCGCCAGCCTCCGTGGCTCGTCAATCACGCTCTGTAGCGCGGCGACCTCAGTTTCTTTTGTGTCGACTCACCGTTTACTACGCCCCTCACCTCCGAGACCAGCAGGCGTCCTGAGCACCTGGTGAGCAGGCTTCTCTGGCCTCCCAGCCACTGCCGTTCCCACGAGACACGCGGGGCCGGGAGCCACCAGGCTGCCCCGGGCACCCCCGCTCGCACCCCTCCGCCCACGGCTGGTCAGACCTCCCCTCACTAGGAAACCCGCATGGAAAAGGCGCCACGATCCTCCCCAGAGAGGAGGCCCCACTGGCAATGAATTGGAGACACAGAGGTGGGGTCACACCAGGGTGACCGGTGACCAGTGACCCCGATCTCACCAACGTGGGTCAGAGATTTGGGTCTCAAGGACCCGACACACCAACATCACAGAGCAGCAACCACAGTAAGAGCGAGGAGCTACCGCGGCCTCAGCTGGTGACGAGGAGAGAGCAAGTCTCCCTAAGAAAAGCCATCCCACCCTGGCCGGCGTGGCTCAGTGGATAGAGCGTCAGCCTCCAGACCCAAGGGTCCTGGGTTCGATTCCGGTCAAGGGCACGGACCTCAGTTTCAGGCTCTCCCCCGCTCTCCCCCAGCCCAGGCACGTGAGGAGGCAACCAATCGGTGTGTTTCTCTCACATCGATGCTTTTCTCTGTCTTTCCCTCTCTCCCACTCGCCCTAAAAACCAATGGAAACATATCCTCAGGTGAGGATTAACAAAAATAAAATTAAAAAAAACGATCTCATGAGCTTAGGGCCCCCCTCAAGTTTCCGTGGACCCACCAGGCACCACGGAGAACAGTGCCGTCTGATGACAGTGATCAGAGGTAGGGGTGACCATCCTCGAGAGGGGCTGGGCCGCTGTGCAGGGACCTGCCCGAGACCACGCACTCAGCCCATCATTAGAGTGGACGCCCCTGGCGACCCACCAGGACGCCTGGGGTTAGGAACAAGCCCGGTTTCACCGATTTCCACGCACAAACTGTTAACAGGGCGGACAGACAGCGAGACGGACCACCCACGGCCTCGGGAGGGGCACAGCACAGTGGGAGCCGCGGGAGCCCCCAGAGAGCCGGCGTGCAGGAGGGAGGTGCCGCTCAGGATGAGCGTCAGGGCGTCCATGGAAGAGGACGCGGCGGCCCTCCTGCTCCTGCCGCTGGTAAACCACCTTCACCAGGACGGGGCTCGGCGTGGACGGGGCTCACCGCCCGGCCGGGGGGGCCCTGGCATCTGAGAGGCCCCTGTGCATTCGGCCCACCAGCCAGCAGCGGCCGACACGCGTGCTCCCCGCGGGTCCGTGCAGGAAGCGGGAACGTGCCGGCGCCTCCGGCGCCTCTGTGACGGCGTTTTCAATCGGCACCTGTTGCCTTTCCTCCTCTGTAACTCGCCCTTTGTTCTTATTTTACTGTGAATGAGCCATTTCCACCATTTCCCCCCAGGCTTTCTCCACCTTCTCCTCATTTTCTTAAAAATCAGGAAATAATCAGCTGAACTAAATACTCTAATAAAAGCCTCACGAAGCCTCTGCCCGGTGCAGGGCGGTTACCGAGTCCAGTTCTTGCCTTTCTGTGCCTCCTGCACCCGCTCAGCCTCCCATCGACTTTGCCTTTAAGAAGCAGGACGTCCTACAGGAAGGATTGTCTCAGCCGGCTCCTTGGAGCTGCAGCGCTTTTCCCACCCAAGAGGAGCCCCTGCTGCACCCCCGCCAGCTGGGACCCCCCAGGGAGCCCCGGTTCCACACCCGCCAACTGGGATCCCCCCCCCAGGTGCCCAGTACCACACCCGCCAACTGGGATCCCGCCAGGGTGCCCCAGTACCACACCCACCAGCTGGGACGGCCCCCCCAGGGTGCCCCGGTTCCACACCCGCCAGCTGGGACCCCCCCGCCCCCCGCCAGGTGCCTGGTTCCGTCACGCGGTCTTTAGCCAGAGCGTCTGTGTGGGTTTGCGTTTTATCCGCAGCACCCTTTCCTCGGTAACGCTGGATGGAATGGTCTATATTCACCATTTTTCCCATAAAAGGCAATTTTCTTCTGAAGGACTAGTCATTCTACAAACCTAATGGCATATTTAATCATCCACGCAGGCCTAGGACGTGAAACAATGTCGCTCTTTCTCTCCAAGCTTTGCTCTCGAGAATCGGCCCCTCCCCACAGGGCCCAGCGCAGACTGAGACACAAGCAACAGCAAACACGCATTTCACATCCGCTCTCACACACGGCGCACCTGTCCTCTCCTGCACACCTGCCCTCACCTGCACACCTCCCCTCACCTGCACACCTGCCCTCACCTGCACACGTGTCCTCACCTGCACACCTGTCCTCACCTGCACACCTCCCCTCACCTGCACACCTGCCCTCACCTGCACACGTGTCCTCACCTGCACACCTGTCCTCACCTGCACACCTCCCCTCACCTGCACACCTGCCCTCACCTGCACACGTGTCCTCACCTGCACACCTGTCCTCACCTGCACACCTCCCCTCACCTGCACACCTGCCCTCACCTGCACACGTGTCCTCACCTGCACACCTGTCCTCACCTGCACACCTCCCCTCACCTGCACACCTGCCCTCACCTGCACACGTGTCCTCACCTGCACACCTGTCCTCACCTGCACACCTCCCCTCACCTGCACACCTGCCCTCACCTGCACACGTGTCCTCACCTGCACACCTGTCCTCACCTGCACACCTCCCCTCACCTGCACACCTGCCCTCACCTGCACACGTGTCCTCACCTGCACACCTGTCCTCACCTGCACACCTCCCCTCACCTGCACACCTGCCCTCACCTGCACACGTGTCCTCACCTGCACACCTGTCCTCACCTGCACACCTCCCCTCACCTGCACACCTGCCCTCACCTGCACACGTGTCCTCACCTGCACACCTGTCCTCACCTGCACACCTCCCCTCACCTGCACACCTGCCCTCACCTGCACACGTGTCCTCACCTGCACACCTGTCCTCACCTGCACACCTCCCCTCACCTGCACACCTGCCCTCACCTGCACACGTGTCCTCACCTGCACACCTGTCCTCACCTGCACACCTCCCCTCACCTGCACACCTGCCCTCACCTGCACACGTGTCCTCACCTGCACACCTGTCCTCACCTGCACACCTCCCCTCACCTGCACACCTGCCCTCACCTGCACACGTGTCCTCACCTGCACACCTGTCCTCACCTGCACACCTGACCTCACCTGCACACCTGCCCTCACCTGCATACCTACCCTCACCTGCACACCTGGCCTCACCTTCACACCTCACCTCACCTGCACACCTGTCCTCACCTGCACACCTCCCCTCACCTGCACACCTGCCCTCACCTGCACACCTCCCCTCACCTGCACACCTGCCCTCACCTGCACACCTCCCCTCACCTGCACACCTGCCCTCACCTGCACACCTCCCCTCACCTGCACACCTGCCCTCACCTGCACACCTCCCCTCACCTGCACACCTGCCCTCACCTGCACACCTCCCCTCACCTGCACACCTGCCCTCACCTGCACACCTCACCTCACCTGCACACCTGCCCTAACTTGCACACTCACCTCACCTGAACGCCTATCCTCACCTGCACACCTGTGGTCCTGAACAGTACCAGGGAGGCCGGTACCAGTAAGCCCTCCGGGTGTGGCTGGAAGCCCTGGGCACAGCGTGGCACCCACTCTCTGCATCCACAGGACTAGGGGGCTGCCTGCCTGAACCTAGACTCCCCTCCCGGCTCAGCCACCATTCCGCAGCCTCGCGTCTATGAAATGTATTTGATCTGACGGGAAATCACCGAAGTCGACATGTTTCATGGGTGAGACATCGGCTCCTCCTTCTGCCTGTGACAGAGCCTTGAAGGCCGAGTCCAGTGGAGGAAGGGCAACAGGGGCATCTGCAGGGCCGGGCGGCCCACGGCACAGGCACGGGGTCAGCTGGCACCGCCTGCAGGCGAACAGCCTCAGCTACCCGTGGGGAGGGGGGTCGCGCCACGCCCCCCGGGAGTGCTAAAAGAGGATGTGAAGCCCTGGGGTGCTCTGAGGGCGTCTGCTTCAGCCAGACCCGCATTCCACCCCGTCCCAGCCGGAAACGAGAGCAGTGCCTTCGGAAGGAAGGACCGGCCGCGGCTGGAAGGAGCTGCCCACACCGCGCGCCCGCGGTTCTGGGAACAGCCCGCTCTGCACCAAGAGCAGCCTCGGCCGGAGCTGTTTGAAGGCCACTTGCTTTTCCCTAATAAGGATCCTGTCTCCAAAGGTCACTGGTTAGTGTCTGAGGCCTGGGAGGCGGGAGGCGGCATCGGGGTGACAGCGCCCCTGTCTCCTCCTAGAGGCAGCGGCAGGGTGGGGTTCCAGGGCAGGGGGGGTGGGGTTCCGCCCCCTCTTCCCCCGCCCCCCAGTCTCCAGGGCAGGGGAGGGGCGGGGTTCCCACAGCTGGGACAAGACCTCTTCCCAGCGCTCTCCCTAGACGTTCTCTCTCCAAAGGCACATCTGACACCCAGACAAGCGACACTGGCAGGACTCCCTCCTACGACCAGCTGTTCCCACAAGATAAACCCCCACCCGGCCTTTAGTCAGGATCGGCGTCTCGTCAGTGCTGGGTTCCGTGGGGACAGCTCCCACCGCCTGCCCCGGACACCGGCACCGCGGCCACACCGATGCCGGCGACGTGCAGGGGACACTCGTGAGCAGGCAGGTCGATGCAGAAACAGTGCCGTCTTGTTTGATCAGAAACGTTAGGACTCTCGGCCCCGTAGGGACAGACCACAGGCCCTGAGACGTGAGTGAGACCAGCGAGCGCTCGCCGCGGGCTCCCCGGGCGCCGAACACAGGCCGGAGCCGCTGTTTCCTGTAGAGAAAACTGTCCTCCACCAAATCCGACACCTGGCGGAGGAGGGATTTCCCCGGCGATGGCGGCAGAGAGCCCCCCGCCTGCTGGTCGCGGACACGGGGAGCCCCCGACTGCGGGGGAGACGCCCGCCAGGTGCACAGAGGCGCTCAGCGAGGCGTCTGTGCAGGGGTGTTTGCACCTT